TTATGTTATGAGGCATGGATTTCTTCACCATGTTTCTATTTCCATAGGGAATGTTCAACTGGCTTTCACCCTTTGAGGAATGCATGTTAGATAAAGAGTGACATAGATTCTCATTTGATTATTTTATGCTCCACTAGATGGAGAAAAATACATCTACCATATTTAGCACTGATAATAATTATGTCAATTTAGCATTATCAAAAGTACAGAGAAATTAGCCTGGCTGGTATGGCTCAATGGTTGAATATCAACCTATGAAGTAGGAGGTCATGGTTCAATTCCTGGTAAAGGCATATGCCTGGATGGCGGGTTAGATCACCAGTGTGGGGCATGTAGGGGGCAACCAATGATTCTCTCTCTCATTATTGATGTTTCTATCTCTCTCTCCCTTCCTCTCTGAAACCAATACATATTTTTTTAAAAAAATGTATTGCTTTTAAAAATAGTAGAGAAATTAATAATATAATTTACATTTCCACAAATTTGCTCATTAATTTTGTTGTTTCACTTAACATTTTTTGAGTACGTACTGTTATACTTTTGCTGACTGATGATAAATGAAAAAAGGAACTTGATACTACGGTCAGATAGGATGTGCATAAGGAATGGGGCTGACACAGAGGCGCAATCAGTCCCTCCAGAAAAAATGAAAATCTTGGTGGGGGGGAATATCCTAGATATGAAAACAAGTGAAAAAGAATCTAAAAATGCTAGAATGCTCTTATCTCCCCAGGGAAGTGATTCTATTGATATTCCCACCCTGGTCAGCCTCCCGCTCCCCACCAACCAGGTGTGTGGGGGCTGATGCTTAACATATCTTGAGGCACATTAGATACAGGCTCCAGCTGTTAGCTGGAACTAAGTCATAATATTGCAATCCCCAAAGGACAGCATTGACCATGAAATGAGAAACAACAGAAACAACTTACATCTCTTTGAACATTGGCGCAAGAAAGCAACAACAAAGAAGCACATAAAAACTGCTCCCAGTGGAAGGGAAAGGAAGAAGAAAATTTGATCTGATTAAAAATTATAACCAATATTTAGAAAGGAATTTCTAAAGGCAAGAGAATGAAATTAGTATGAGAGATAATGCACTAGATTATAGCATGCTAATAGACATGATAGTAATCATTATGCTAATAGGTGATAGAATAATCTGAGTGAGATCACAAAATGAATATGTTTACAATGACTAAAGTTTTAAAGGAATACATAGAAAGCGTAATGAAAAAGGAAAAAGAGGAGTTTGGAAAAGAAAGCTTTTTTAAATTTAGCAACAGTCTTTTTAAATGATAATTATAATGATTGAAATGAACAGTTTAAACTGATGAGAAAGTTGGTAATATATATGATCAATCTACAGAAATTACCCCAAATGCAACATATAAAATATTAAAGATTAAGATATTACATTTAACCCATTTATATTTATTTAATATAATTGATTATTGTATTTACATCAACTTTTTTTTTAATTTTTACTTTTTTTAATTTTATTTATTTTTTACAGAGAGGAAGGGAGAGAGATAGAGAGTTAGCAACATCGATGAGAGAGAAACATCGATCAGCTGCCTCCTGCACACTCCCTACTGGGGATGTGCCCGCAACCAAGGTACATGTCCTTGACCGGAATTGAACCTGGGACCCTTGAGTCAACAGGCTGACGCTCTATCCACTGAGCCAAACCGGTTAGGGCTACATCAACTTTTTAATGCCACTGTGCTACTTTCTTTTTTCCTTTGTTATCTCTTTACTATAAGAACTTTTCCTTTTTTCTTTTACACTTTGCCTTTAGCTTTACATTCAATGCCAGATTTTTTAAAAAAATCTCTTATATTTTACTTAATCAAGTCAGTTCATTAATTTTATCTATTTATTTTGTTAAGAATATGTGAGTAGTACATTGTTATGAGCCCTTATATTTTAAAAAAGGGAAAAACTCCTTTGTTGGTGATAACCCTGATTCCACATCTTCCTTTCAAAATTTTGAAAATTTTAGTCCATTTTTCCCCTTGGTTTTTAGTGTGACAATGAATGAGGCTGAGGCTACACTGATTTTATACTTTCTTTCGTTAAGTGTCTCTGCTGAATGGATGCTGATAGAATTATATTTTATTTAGACAGACATTTCAGTTTTCCATGTTATGTCTTTTCTTTTGCATAAATTTTGCCTAGTAATCATTCAGTACTTTCTAACTCAAGGTTTTAATCAGAATCAGAAAACTGCTTAATCCTTTGATTAATCCTTTTGTGGCTGCTTGGATATCTTCTTTGATTGTACCTTTAATTACTAGGTTACATCACTTCAAATGATTTCTTATCATACTTTGTCCCTTTTCATCTCAGTTTGTCATCTTTGTATCTCAGCCTGTTGTTCTTTCTTTTTTATTTTATTTTTAATTATAGTTTACATTCAATATTATCTTATATTTCATCTTGTTGTCCTTTCATCTTCTCCTGGTCTATTCCGAAGTCTGTTTCTTAGGAATTTTGCTTCCTGGATACTACTAAACGTACAAAGTAGAATTCTCTGGTATTCTTCAGGTAACTATAATTCTCGCTCTGTGAAAACCAGGATGATGCTTTTTCTTCGTTTCTGTTTTTGTTTGTTTGTTTGTTTTGTTCTTCTTTTAAAATCTTGGTATTGATTGGTTGTTTTTTTTCTCTTAAGGCACCAAGTAGGATTTTGTGTTTTTATCTTTGGATATTTGTCTACTCACTTTCAATTCAATAGCCATTTGAATCTCTTTCTCAGATTTGGATGGCAGATCCATGTGCATAATTTTTAAACCAATTTTCGGTGTTTAGTCATTTTTACTGAGTATAATTCCTCTGGACCGATGTGTAGCCTTCTCTTACCTGTGCTAACTGGATTTCCACTGCTTTGGTTCAGCCGAGTGTATGAAGGTGCCACCCTCAGCATGCATTTCTATTAGGGCTCTTATTGCCTCTGTCTTTATCCGTGTGCTTGTGGGAATTTCATTTTTGACAATGCAACAGGCTACCTCCAATTTCTCTCTACATTCTGTTCTATTGTTCCTGAGGGATGTGGAAATATAACCACGGATGGGCAAAGAAACATTGATCTAATCACTTCCAAAAATGATATATGTGTATTACAGAGATAAATGTATATTTTCATTGGTATGTGGAAATCAGATAATAAGGGACAGGCAAACTATTACTTCTATCATATTTCTGGAAAATGGTATTGCTTTGTTTTATGATGTAAAGTACATGTCAGTCACAAATTATTTTTATTAATCCTTTGCTGTGTACTCTACAGATGGTATAAATACTCTAGCAACAAATTACTATTCAGAATCAATTTTTCTGGACAAGTTCTTATATTTGAAATAGATAAATATATGTTCTATATGTATTTTAGGGAATATTTAAAAGGGAATGTCTTAATCTATTAGACTGATACATTTTAAATTAGAAGTTTCTGGATATATCTGCTTAAAATCTTACTTTACTATGACATATAGGTACATGGGTTAACTAAATTGCCACTGGGATATATGCCAGTATGTGTTATACATATTTCTGGCAAATGGAGCTTATACACATATATATCCCAAGTAATGAAAGTATGTATGACTGGATTGTGCCTATATTTCTATGCTCTCTCTCACTTATCTAACACTAGGGAAAGTTTGATTTATTCTCCCAGCCAAAACCCAGTATTCCACTATTGCCAACATGGGGAAAGAACAAATGACCCACTTCTCCATTTCTAGCCTTGCATCTTTAAACTAAATAAATAATGGCTATTTGGAGTCATGACTACAAATAGAGCGATCTGGGCCCACACCTAGGTTGCACTAGTACTTCATAGGCATAGCTAGTTTGTACAGGTGCTTAATCTCAGTCTTCTCACTAATAAAACGAAGATGAGATGGTAAGGAGATTGGATGAGATACTATACATAAGGGATCTGGCACATACTAGTTTCTCGATTAATAGTAGTTATTTCTATTAAATGTCTGAAATTGTTTCTCCTTCTTCTGTTTTTTTAAAAAAATTCTTTTTAGAACCAGAAAATAGAAAGATTCCCTTCTACCTTTTTTCATTAAGAAAATAAAATAAGTATTAAATGAAAGACAGGAGTTTAGATCAGGAGTACTGTTATTCAGTGTACCTTATTCAGTGTTAGCATTTCATTTGCAATTTTATTTCTGGCTGGTAGCTCAATATATATTTGTCTATTGGTGGGGATTTTGTTTAATTATAAACATCAGGAGAGGAAGGAAGCCACCTATATAGTAAATATAGACTCAAATTTAATTTGTTGGAAAAGGTCAAGTTAATCTTTTCCCTATATTAACAGAATACTCCTAAATACAGAAATTAAAATCACCACACCACATCTTTGTAATTAACCATATCAAATTCTTTGAAAGTCAGGACTAATTTTGCCTGTTTTGTATTTTATAGCATACTTTGGGGCCCATTACAGCATAAAATCATTACCCTTTATGGATCCACATTTTATTTCTATACTAGAGGCTCAGTGCCTGAAATTCATGCATGGGGGAGGAGGAGGGAGGGTCCCTCACCCCAGCCTGCACCCTCTCACAATCTGAGGCTCTTTGGGGGATGTCTGACTGCCGGTTTAGGCCCGATCCCACAGGGATCGCAATCCGGGACTACTGGCTTCTAACTGCTTGCCTGCTTGCCTCATTCCCCCTAACCACTCACCTGCCTGCCTCATTGCCCCTAACCACTCTGCCTGCCTTGCCTGATCGCCCCTAACCACCTCTGCCTTGGCCCCCACTGCTGTGGCTTTGCTGGAAGGACATCCGGAATGACGTCCAGAAGGTCATTCAGCTGTCAGGTCTAATTAGCATATTATGCTTTTATTATTATAGATTAAAAATGTCACAATATTTTAATGCTGATATTTAAATACAAGACATTTGATTACATTTTTCAAGCATTTATGTTTCTTTGTTTACCATCGAGTCAATTAGAGATATGAGGATCTAACTCACCGGTTGAAGTATAAAGAAACCATCGTTTTTGTTGTGGTAGTGGCTCTTCTATTATGATCTATCTCAGACCCCAAATTTTTTTTATCAGGGTGTGAAGAACAAGGTAGGCATACAATGACTGGCTTCTGGAAAGGATGTGTGGATGGGTGCTGCACGTGAATCAGAGGGCTGGTGGACAGTACGGAGTAGGAAGTATCTTGCTGTGTTTTTAAATATGCCACCAGAGATGGGTCAACTGGTTGGATCTAAACAAATAAACAAACAAATATATATATATATATTGTCCCCCCAAAAAATATATACACACTTTAACAGCTAATAACTCAGTTTTCACTCCTTTTCAGGTTTAACTGATTTGAAATAATGGGTGAAGCCAGACTAAGCTTTAAACAAAGAAAATTTATCCTAAAGTGTCCTTAGACTTTTTTTATGGGGATACATAAAAGGTAAAGTTTATGGTACAAACCCAGCAAAAACCCACAAATTGAGGGCACACAAATACCAAGTGAAGTGATTCCTGATGTTTGTGATTCCATTGCTTCGCTTTATCAGCCGTGCCTGGACCAGAACGGTCATCAGTTTGAAAACAGGCACTGACAAAAAAAATTATTCATTTTTGTAGATAATTTTAAATTTTGAAAATGAACTATCCTATATAAAAAAGGCTAATATGCAAATTGTCCCCTTGACCGGGAGTTCGACCGAAGATGGGGCCGGCTGGTCAATGGCCCACGACTCCTCCAACCCTCCAGCCCGGCCAGCTCGGCCCAATTAGCCTCGATTGGGGTGGGCCTGCAGGACCCCACCCATGCATGAATTCATGCACTGGGACTCTAGTATGTTAATGAACACTTTATAATCATTCAAAGTGTGTATACATTTTGGGGGACACCTTGCGTACATATATATTCCTATATTTAATTAGCAAAAGATGTAAAGTATCAGCATATTTATAAACCAGTTTTCTGAAACTTTGAAGGAATGTAGTTTTAATATATCTCTCTATACATTGTTGGCTGAATCAATACTGCATTAATTTATTAAAAAGCACATTTAGTCCCTTTATACAAAGTCTTTGTGAAATCTAGTTTCCTTGTCCTTTTTTATAAATAACTGAGAAACACTCTTAATTGTAGGCAACAAAATGACCTAGAAAACAAAATAAGCATTTTACGTAATTTCTAATTAAAACTATTGTTAGATCAAGTGATCCTTAGAAACTAGAAACACAAGACTATATTTACTTAAGTGTTTTCTCTCACATAAGAAAACACTGCTTTAGCTAATAATAAAAATAGCTAGCATAATTCCAAAATTTCAAAGTTTATGAAAACTATTTATAAAATTAATTATTCATAATATCTTTTATTTAAAACTTTTCTTCTTTGCTTACCTTTTGTGGTAACAACTGGGAGAAACAGAAGCACCTGGGAAAGATTTAAGGCCAGAAGTACAGGGAAAACTGAGGAAATGCATGTTCTAAAATATAAACTGATATAACATTGCTCACCTTTGTATATATTGAATTCTTTAACAGTCTAAAACAGTCTTCCCAAGAATGATTTTTTTATAATTACATATAACCAGACTTTCAAAATCATAAATATTTTAATGGACAAACCTCCTTTTTGCTTCTGAGGTGGAAATCTTGAATCATATGAATGTCCAGTGCCTGGCATCAATCCTATTATACTCAACATATATTTTTGTTCATAACCATCATAAACAAAACAATACAAAAACCAGCTAGAAAAAATCTTTCAAATAAAGTGGAGATTCATTTTGCAGTGAGATTGAGTATGCTCCAAATCATCATTTTATTACTAAAAACACTGTATGTTAGGTGGTTGAAAGTATCAGAGAAGAATTCATTTACTGTTTTATTAAATATTTTGATCTTCATCTTTTAGGACCAGGTTTGATGACTCACACAATCTATTAGAAGGAATTCACCAGTTATTAATATTTACCTTTAATTGCACAAGCACGGGTGAGCCGAAAACTCCCGGAGGGTAATGCAGGGATATCCGCGAATCCATGCTTGGCTTGAGAGTGAGGCCTTTCGTTGTTACTGTGAAGGACTCTTTCTTTAAACAGGATACAACAGAGAAGATACCCAACTTGTAAACTTTCACTTCAGCACAGGTCCCCTGTGTGATTGAACGACAGTAGGACAAGGACATTAGCACAGCGCTGTTCTTACATGCTCCGTGGCTGTGAAAAAAAACCTACATGCTGTCCCTGTACTTGCCCGCAACTGAACATAGGCAACCAGGAATTTCTCAGTTTTGAGCTACATAACAGTTTATTTTTTAATTTAAAATAAATCCCAAAGAGAAAATGTATATGTGCCATGAGCAATCACATTCAGATTTTTAACAAATATTAATTACTTCTGGAATCCCATCCTCCTTAAGTTCACCAGAATGGACTTTAAATACTGGCCTTTATCCAGAAGATTCAACCCTGCTCTAGGACTGAAATTTCATTGGGTAGTTTCTGTACACATGATAGCACCTGTACCATCAGCAAATTCTTCCTTCTGACAACTCAATCTCTTAGTAAAGTCATTTTCTCTACTTCTGTCCTCCATGCAGTAGGAGCAGTTAACTACAAAGAGAGACATTTGTGTTTCATTTTTATATAGTGATATTTAAATTTGAAGCCTTTTTTATCACATAAAGGAACTGTACATAAATGAAAACAGAATTATCTACTCATATAATCTCCAGCGCTTAGAATGAGAAGGAAGACTTAGAAGCAATTTGATCTATTCATGCTTTCCTGAGCACCAGCCGGGCTCCGCCCTGGTGTGAGTGGATAGTCATGCAGACACACAAACATTTCAGGGATAATCACAATGCAAACTAACCTATCATTTGAAAACTGACTAAGGAAAATATTTCGCAATATCACTGCATGACTCCGTCGCTGGGAAAATTCAGGGCATGGTGAATGTCCCTAATTGGCTGGAGGGAATCTGGTGAAAGGTAAGAAAGTGTTCTGGGAACCAGTGGTGGTTGGCCTGTATCTCAGGCACATCTGGCAGATGTTAGGAAACAGGAAGGGTTGTTGATCAAGGGAGTGTCATGAACAGAGCTCTGATGGCGGTTCAACTGACTCTGGAGTTAGAATTCTTAAATGTCATATGAACCACATAAACATTTGGAAGGAATCCAGAGTTTAAATTGTCTTGAGCTAAAAATAGAGATAACTACTATTAGAATATTCTAAAGAGAAAAGTATATGCTTTTATTTTTTTCCAGTAGACAATGGTGTTCTCTCTCTCTCTGTCTCTCTGTCTCTCTCTCTCACTTTCTCTCTCTCTGTCTCTCTCTCTTTGATTATTCATTTTTTTAAATATATTTTATTGATTTTTTTTTTACAGAGAGGAAGGGAGAAGGATAGAGAGTTAGAAACATCGATGAGAGAGAACCATCGACCAGCCGCCTCCTGCACACCTCCTATTGGGGATGTGCCCACAACCAAGGTACATGCCCTTGACCAGAATCAAACCTGTGACTTTTCAGTCTGCAGGCCGATGCTCTATCCACTGAGCCAAACCGGTTAGGGCTGATTATTCATTTGCTAAACATCTTGTGTAGCTACTTTGTGAAAACCACATGTACCTGAGCACTTTCTGCTTCTATGTCAGGCAGAATGGCCAAGATTAAAAAGCCCCAATCAAGAGCTGTTATACTTACAGGCTTCCTAGACTAAATATAACATGTATTAGTTGCATAAGTGGGAGTAAATAATGAGAACAGGCTTAGCTTTCATATTTAACTGGATATCCTTATTTGTGAATCAGAAAAGACCAACCCAGAGAAAGTAGAGATGTGTTATAAAGAATTTCTTGTATACATGGAATGTTTTCACATTTATGCCCTGCCCTCCTCTTCAAATAATGACAATTTACATAAAGCAAAAAAAGACAAATATTTAAATTGTTTCAAAGTATGTTCACTGGCCCACAGAAGTTTCTTAAATTTTTGTTCCCATCAAATCTATGCTAAGTTTAGTAATTGTGAATATTCTTTCTTCAAAATATATGGATTTGTGGCCATAGAATTATACAGTAAAGTGTACGATGGGGGGAAAAAAGATCATTTTTAACTGTTAGCATGTGTTTTAGGCTTCCTTTTATCTTTTTAAGTGTACAATAGTTTTCCTTTTGTCCTTATGACCTACCAGGTAGATGTTATTATTTGTTCATTTTCCAGATGAAGAAATTGAGTCATAGCAAGGTTACATAATTTACCAAAGTTCACATAGCAAGAAAGTATATGAACCACATTTGAATCCTTCACAATCCACATCCTAACAACCACATATACTGTCCTTCATATATGAACTAAACACAATTTATAGACTAAAAATTATCTCAAAGCATACACACACATGCACAGTTGTTCATTTTAACATAATTTTCCAACCCATGACTGATAATAATAAAGCTACTATCATCCGGGGACTCTAACATTCTTAAATTTTGCAGAGATCCGTCACAGTGAAAACGTTAGTCTAAAGCCCGGCTGGCATGGCTAAGTGGTTGAATGTCGATCTATGAACCAGGAAGTCACAGTTTGGTTTCCGGTAGGGGCACATGCCCAGGTTGCGGGCTTGACTCCCAGTGTGGGGCATGTAGGAGGGAGCCGATCAATGATTCTCTCTTAATATTTCTATCTCTCTCTCCCTTTCCCTTCCTTTCTGAAATCAATAAAAATATATTTTTAAAGAAATGTTAGTCTAAAGCTAGTCTAACAAAGACATGAAGTTAATTAAGCCATGGTGTTGGATTTGTTAACCACGTAAAAACATTTGCTGTGTCCTAGACCCAAGTTCTCCATCCCTCAATTTGGCCAGTAATTTCTGTTCTTTGATCTTTGTGACTTTAGAGATCCTCAGAATTATACAATAAAGTGTACCATGGAAAAATTATAATTTTAACTCCTAGCATGTGTAATTTCTGTTCTTTCTGCTCTTTGTGGCAAAAAAAAAAAAAGAGTAAATGCACTAAAATAAATCTATGACCCTTTTCTTTTTTTACAAATGAGAATTTATATCTATACTACAATCTGGTAGAGAAAGAAATTTTTAGAGAAGGAATCAAACGGCAAGTGTAGATGTAGCCAATCATTTACCAACCTTGTAACTTCCTCTCATTCCATCCAGGGAACTTGGGGTTAGGTAACTTGACTGAAGGTTTATGTCAGACATTTTCACCATGACGTCTTTGTAATTTCCCCTGTAACATGCGGTAAATGGAATTGCAATGCATATTGGAAACGGAATTCTCATTTCCATAACTGAGC